ACAACATTATAGATTGTCATGTAAGTATCGTAATGGTCAACGTTTGATTATGTTGGTCAAAGGGTTAGATTAATTTTTTTTCTTAGTTTAAGTATCACATTGAGTGCAAAAAAATTCAAGGGCTACATTAGTTTTCCCCAAAAAGTTTGAGGGCCTCAAATACCATTAAACATATTTTTATTTATTTTAATGACACTTGTGTGTGTTCTTGCTTGAAACAATATTTTTGTATATTTTTAAATTTTAATTGATGTCCAATATGCTCAATATTATATTCTTATTATAAACTAAAATAATTTTTTGTTTATGATTTTTTTTAATTTTTTAATTATTTTATATTTGCATAATTCACATGTTAAATTTATATAATAAAATTTTTAATGGTTATATTTTAATTTAATTATGAATTTAAATTTTCATTTATATTAACCAAATTTCTTTAAATTGAAAATGAAAAATATTTTCTTAAATTAAAAATATAAACATAAACAAAAAGTATTTTCTAAAATCAAACATATCCTAATGTTTTACGATTTAATTATTCTTTGTGAATAATTTAATTAGAGTTGAAATATAACACCCCGAATTGCGGGCTAGAAGTTTCGGGTTTATTCATTCGGACTTTAGAGTGATTTCATTATAGTTATGAAGCTTAGAACCCAAATGGAGTTAACTTGGGCCATAGATGAACCCAACCAGCCTTAAAATGAGTGTCCTTGAATTGGAACAAATAAAGAGGGACTAGGTAGGTGATTAACCTATTATTTCAAAACAAAGTTGAATAACATTTATGTGGGATGATCTCACGTCTGTTATGATATCCCTTTTTCTTCCTATTGCTTTGTCTTCTTCCTCTCCTCTTGCATCATCTTTTCTCTCAAAGAAATCATCAAAGGCTAAAGCTTTAAGAATCCTATACACCCCTTGTGAATTCTAAGTTAAGATTCACAATCTAAAACTCCTAAACTTTTATTCAAACCCACATTTTGCAAGTTTTGGTCAAGTTTCATAAAAATGAGTTTTAGTGGGGGTTTAGGAAATCATAAATTTTTATTCGTTTTATGAGATTTAGGTTGTAAATAAGCTAACAACTCATTAAACTTGTTTTGATTAGTGCAAGAACAAGGGAAGAGCTCAAAAGGTAAAGGCAAGGAAAAGTTAGTCCTAGGATGATTTGAGAACGTTTTTCAGTCACCTAGCTTCAAGGTAACATGATTCTAATTTGTCGTACCACATGTAGATCATTGTATGTGCATTTTGGTATGTTTTGCTCATGTAAGATGTTAGAGTAATTTTATGGAAAATTCCGTTTTTGATGTTTGTAAGCTTAAATGATTATAACTTTTAACCTCTAAACCTTAAATAAGACTTTAATAAGCTTTGTTAGTCTTAGAAGAGCGTATGGGTGAGGTTTAGAGTTATTTTCTTGCGCAGAATAGGGTATTATGGTCCGCCAGTATTGGTACTAGAATAACAGTACTGATATTGTTCTTCGTGAAAGGCTAAAGCCCAGCATTTTATAAGGGCAGTATCGATACCCTTCATGGAGTATCGATACTCGGAGTCTGATATCGATACTCAAAGGGCCAGTATCAATACTAAAGTATTTTTGAAAACATCAAAGCCAAATTTAGTATCGATGCTCATGGGGGTATCGATACCCAAGGTAGAGTACCAATACTCCTTAAAGGGGTATCGATACCCTAACACTTTTCAAAACATCGAATCTGATTTTGGTATTGATACTCACATGAGTATCGATACTGTTGGCCCAATATCGATACCCACTGTGATTTTTAGGCAATTTTCATAAATTGGTTTGGTTGTTCGGGCTGAGGTGTTGTAAGTTCGTATAAGCTATAAGTATCCAATACAAGTGAAAACAAACAAGTTAACTCATTTCTCACCTAGAAACCAAGTAAAATAGGGTGACATAAGAGTGGTCTTGTATGATGCTCGGGAAATGGCTAAGACACCTGAGTTACTCTAGCATTATGACGATCGTCCTTTGTTTGTGAATATCTAGATATTTGTTTGTTGGTACGCATCCAATGCACATAAATTCCAGGTCGTATTGATACTAATTCTGATGCACGTAAATTTCAGAATCGTACCCTATGCTCGATTACGTACGGGATGTGAGTTTCTGATGCACATAAATTTTGAACCTCGGATCTCTCGAGGATTCGATGTAGACTAAGGGCTATAAGTTCCGACGCACATAAATTTTGGTTCTTACCCCGAAGCTATCCAGGTTTATATAGGCTAGTGCATTATCCGAGATGCACGTAAATTCTTCCGACCACTCCACTTGGCCTATCTCATGTTTGATATGTATTTTTGCATGTTTATGACTTTACATTCCGGTATATTCATGTGAATGAAGGCATGTAGTATTGCATAATTATTTTCGTGGCATTGAGCTTGTGAGCTCAACGTATGGAATTTGTTTTCGTATGCAGGTTAGTAGATGATCGTTGAGGGAGCCTATCGCATTCGACCGTTCCTGACCACACGACTAGCAGAGTATGTCTTGAGTATTTGTAGAGGGCATGTATTCTATATGGGCCTTGTGTATTCGTGTCATAACTCTCTTTTGATTTTAAATTCTATGGTTGTATTGTATGTATTTTGGGAGACTCCCGTATTTTGTAAACTTTATTTTGATTCCACATATGATATATGAATGATTTTGATAATTATAAACTGTTTTGAAAATAAATTTTTGAGCTGTCCATTTCGATGGTTCCATGTGGCGTCGTAATCCATGGATCTTCGAGTTGGACTAGATTAAGGTGTTACATGAAAATTGATATATATTAAGGGTTCGTTTGTTTCACAGAAAATAAATTTTTGGAAAATAATTTACGTGAAATGAATTACATACGCTGTAAAACATTTTCTGAAAATCATTTCATAGTGTTTGGATGATGTTATATAAGTAATTTTCCATTAGTTAATAATTTTTATAAAAGCTACTTATTATAAATATCGAATATAATAAATAATATTATTTATTAAAAATATTATTATTTTAAAAATATTATAATTTTTTATTTAATATTTTTATTTTAATATTAGTTTTGATTAATTATGTTAGTATTATTACTAAAATATGATGTCTACAATTTTATGAATAAAAATATTAAGATTATTGTATTTTATTAAAATAGTATATTATATTTTTAAAATTTTTAATAAGTATAAATTGATAATTAATATTTTTATTAAAATGATATTAAAAATAATATTAATATTAAATATATAAAATAATAATATTTTGAGTATTTATGCTTTCAAGTAAAAAAATTTTGAAAATAACTTATGAAAAAGCAATTTGGCATTGTTTTTGAAAAGTGAATTTTAAAAGTGTTGTAGAAATGAACATTTAAAAGTGTTGCTCAAAAGTACAATTTAAAGTTTAACTGTTTGAGATTGATTTTAAAAAGTGAGTTTGAAAAGATAAAATATTTATCATGGACATTATAATGTAAATTAAAAATATCATTTGAATTATATTTATACTTCTATATAAATTTTTATCAATTTAATAAAAAAATATAAATTAAAAATTACAATTATAATAAAAATATATTTTATATAACTCAATAATAATATTTTAATATATAAATCATGAATTTTATTTATTTATAAATAATTAAAATAAATTATTAAAATTAATAAATTATTTCTTAAGGACGTTTGTATTAAATTATTAAAATAAAATATAAATATATAATTGAGTGAAATTCATACATTAGTAATAGTAAAAATATAAATTTGCTTCTGACCGCAAAGTTGGAATGAAAAGACTATAAATTATAATTTATGCTGTTAGTTTGAAACCACCGTTTCTATAGTTTTTTTTTTCAATTTTTTTCAATTTAACATTAATTTTAATGTTAAAACGAACTTTTTAACATTAGCAAAGGGGCCTAAGTGAACATTGTCAGCTTATTACTACGATTCTATGGTATTCTACTTTGGAGTAACATACGATAACCTTGTTTATTACTTTAGATAACATTTTTTAATAGGTTGACTAAAGGTAATGTTTTACCTCTTATAAATATAACTGTTTAAATTCAGAAATTTTAAAAATACTAACATATATTTTAATCACCGAAACTATTTGATGAGTTTAACTTGAAGTAACATTTAAAAAGTAAGAATTAACTCAGTTTTAATGCAAAGTGTTGTGTTTAATATTTTTATGCATGAAATAAAGGAGCATGAATTAAAGGATCAAAATGTTAAGGGAATGAGCATTTATTATTAAATAATTGAGAGTTATTTTCGAACATATATTATATTGTAGTTACATCGTATTAATAAAAAAATATGAAATAAAAGATGATGTTTCAATGGTATGATACTTTAAAATTATTATAATTTAAATAATAATAATAATAAAATTATTCAACTAAGTCTTTAAATAGATAAATATGGGTGGAGTTATTTTCATTAGAACAGTAACATTAAAGGAAAGTATCTATCAGTCACGTATGTATAATTTAATTAATTAGATTTAAATATAAATAATAATAATATTTAAATTTAATTAAATAAAAAATAAAGTTAATTTTTAATTTAAATTAATAGATTCAAATTTTATGAAAATTATATGTATCTGGATGATTAATTGAGTCGAATTAATTACAAAAAATATTTAAAAATATAAAAACTTTTTAAAAAGTAAAATCTTACAATTAAATTTAATTAAAAAAATATTTAATAGTTAAATAAAAATTTATAAACAGTTCATTCCATCTCCAATCAGATTTGTCTTTCACTTGGTCCGAAAATTTTTATTCTCTGACATCAATCCAAAAATTCTGGGAAAATAAATAAATAAACCCGAAAATATATGATTCTCCCTCCTAGTTTAGTCCTCTTCGCCAGAAAAAGGAAAAAAAAAGAAACTCCAGTTGTTTTGTTTGCTTCCTCCCTTGTTTTTTTTTTTGCAAAATCCGCCATTCTTTTACCCCCCCTCCGTTCCCTCAAAATACATAGAGAAAAACAATAATAATAATAATGAATAGCATTTCCTCTATTCATTTTTAAATCTCTTTCTTTCTTCCTTTCTTTTCTCTTTTTGAAAGCGATGGATCTTCTTTCCGAGGATTCCTCCGATTCCACTCTTCGGGTCGACTCAGACAACAACGAGGGCGCCTGCAACGATGAACAGCGAGTTTACTTTGTGCCCTTCAGGTCAGTTTCCTTTCTTACAAAACATTTCTTGAATCTGAAAATAACCCATGAAGGGAAAAAAGGGTTTTCTTTTGTTGAGTTTTGGGTTATTATTAATGGAGTAGTCAATCTCTGGTAACGTGATTTGGAATCTTAATGAACATTTACTTTACATGCATTTATTTGATGGGTTACTTTCTTAGTAACCAAAAAGGTGATGTTTTTTATTCAATTGGATTTTTGTTGGAATTTTATAAGCATTTGCTTGGATTTCTTTCTACAAACTGTTTTAAGTGAGGTATCCAACTTTTGAAATTTTTAGTGTTTTGTATTTTAAGATTTGGTTCAAGGAGTTGATTCATTTTTCACTTTTCTCTTAAAGGTGGTGGAAAGATGCACAGGATTCATCTTCAGGCGAATCTGATTTGAAGAGGGGGATTTTGTATACGGCAAACCCGGGAAGCTCGTATGCCGGTCCCATGAAGTTGATCAACAACATATTCAATTCAGATCTTGCTTTCAATTTAAGGAAGGAGGAGGAGGATTCTTTGCACAATGCTGAAAATGGAGAGGTTGGGGTTTCAGGAAGGGACTATGCATTAGTTCCTGGTGATATGTGGTTGCAAGCTCTTAAATGGTGAGTGTTTTAAGAGTGGGTTTTCTGTGTCATCTAATCAGACACTGTTGCCATCAGTGTTAAATAGTTTGAATAGGTAGTTAAATTATCCGCTGTTCTTTCAATGCCTTTTGATTTTATGCCGTGGCCTAACTGCATTCAAGAGTTTATGCAATGGATGTTAATTGGATTGGTAGGAGTAAAGAGGAAGAGTCAAACTTTTATGAGACAAGTGAATCAATGTGAAGTTTGATTTTGCTCCAGTTGTTTGCATTATTGGAAACTGGAAAGCGATAATTTTAGTATATTATAGTTTTGGATCCAAGCCTACCTTATAAAAGATCCTTAATTTCTCTGTTAAGTATAGTTTCTGCATTAAGTGAACTATTTGATTCCTATTTGAATCATTGGGATGTCTCCGATTCTCCTGAAAATAACAGCAGAATAGGTCTATGAAAAACTAGGCTGACAATTCTCAACATGGGGGATTACCCTACTTTGAGATTCTTGCACCAAACCATGATATATTCTTTACTACAATTCGTGCTTTCTTTAAATTGAATGGCCCTATTTGTGGCCTTTTAAAATGAATTTATCTTACGACATGCTTTCTGAATTTTTTTCTGTTCAATACACACTACATGAATTAGGGAGCCTACTATAATGGGCTGAAATGTTAATGAAAAGTTTATTTCTGCTGAAAACTGTAAATGTGCGCATTCCTGATAGGTTTTAAGATTGCCCTTCATTTTAGCAAAATCAAACTTGTTAATCTTAGTTTATAAGAGTATGACCTCGTTTATTATGAATGGTTTGTTTAATCCAGTTGCAACAAATGCACAGTCAATTTTATTCTTAAAAGTTTTAGTGATCCAAAAAGATTGACCGTTTATAATCATCTTTTATGCATCATTTCCTTTTTTTTGGTTCCTTTGGTTTGGCGATATTTACATAGCTTATTCTTCTGTATCTGCTTTGCTTTCTATACACCTGGTATTTGCCAATGATTGTATGAACTTTAGAATGAAAAGCAGTGTTTGTTTGAGTTACTAAAATATCTTGCCCGGTTTTCTATTCGGGGGTTTGAAGAATCAAATTCTATGTGGCCCTTAGAAACTAAAAAGAGCTTTTTAGTATCTCTCAAATTATACCATTTGCCGTTTCATGTAGGCATAGTGATACTAAGATTGCAGCAAAAGGTGGTAAAAGCTTTTCAGCTGCTGAAGATGACATGGCAGATGTGTATCCGTTGAAGCTAAGACTTTCTATTCCACAAGAAACAAATTCATTGGGAGTAAAAATTAGCAAAAAGGTAAGTTCATTTAACCCATTTTCCCATTTTGGTCTGTGAATATGTGTCACATTAGGCTATCCAAAGATTCTATAATATCTAATTTCTAGGTTTAATGTTTCCACCAATCCATATGTTATCTGTAAAATTTCAATCGAGGTTGACTGCATATCATTAAAGGTCTGATCATTTTTCACTCTGGAGAGGTGCTTAATTTTTTCGTTCCTGTTTGTTATAAAAAACATTATTTAAAAAATAATTAGTTCCATAGAACAAGTTCTTACATTTCTGAATCATTAGCCCTCGCCCCTCGTCCATGTTATCAGATGTCCTTGGTTCTGTGTACCCACTTTATGTTTCACTTTTTACAGGACAATGCAGTGGAACTATTCAGAAGAGCATGCAAAATCTTTAGTATAGATTCTGAGCCGGTAATTTTCCTTATCATTACGGAGGATCTTTTTCCCCTTTTATTTGCTTTTTCAATGAGATTGATATCTATGCTACTCTGTTCCACAGTTTCGCATTTGGGATTTTTCTGGGCAGACAGCTCTATATTTTATGAATGAAAGAGATGGATTTCTCAAAGATTCTCAACGCCGATCAGATCAGGAGGTAAGAGGTATTGTTTTAAATGTTATACTGGTTTGCACCTACTTATTTGTTTGATTCTATCCACTCTCCCTCCAAGATGCGCTCCTTAGTTTTTTTAAAACCAGTTTTTTTAACTATTGTGCTTCTCTGCATGCCTTGTTTAAAGAACTTCATAAATTGGCATAAAATAACAACTCAATCATATAGAATCTTTACTGAATACACTATTTTCGGGTCTCCTGTAGCTATACTTCAGTATGCTATTTTGATGGAATTCACTTTCCGTATGATTGTTACAAATAGAACAAATTCCAAATGTTGATTTCCAATATATGTTTTATGCTCCCAGGTTCAACTGAACCGTTTGGTTTCCATCGTATGGGACATATTCAATAAACAATATTGCAAGAATTCTTCATTGAGATGCTTAAATTACACAAGATTGATAATAATTTTTGAGACATCCTTTGCATTTGAGTTTCCTTTAGGAGAGTTCTGTGTTTCTTTACACTTACGAGGGTATTCTAGCTCTACCATTTGTTCTGCTTCCGTTTTCTCAGTGACTGATTTTTTTATGATGCAATTTTAACCTTTTGTCATGCATTAACTATTTCTACTATATATGGTTATTTTTTTCTTTGATTTCTTTATTATGCTAGAATTTCTAGAAATCATGTTGCATCAAATTTGAGCCCATCAAGAGAAATTCTGTGGCAGTAAATCATCTTATGTAACCTCAAAAGGAAATTTTATATACATGAGGTACTTTTACTTCAACTCAAAATTTAAGACAATAGAATGAATCTTAAGAAAATGCCAGCTGTGATTAGGAAGAACTGTGCAGAGTGCGAACCAATTTTGAAGCAAGGGGGCAAATTGTTTTTCCTCTTCTTGTTAATATTCTGCTCTCTTACTTCTGTCTTCTTGATCTTAATTGGAATATCATAAAAATTACTTTCTTACACATCATTTTTTTAGTTTTAATGTATGCCAATAATGTTTGGTTACTTTTGTTTCTGTAGATTCTCCTGGAGTTGCAAGTCTATGGGTTGTCAGATTCCATGAAATGTAGAGAAGGGAGAAAAGACAAAATGTTAGGACAACATCCTTCAAATTGCTCTTCTGGTGCTCCAGTTTTGTTAAGTGGCAATTCAAACTCCAATTTTGTTGGTACTGGCACTTCAATAATCTGTGGAAAATCCGGAGAAGCTGGTTCTTTGGGACTGACTGGATTACAAAATCTTGGAAACACTTGTTTCATGAACAGTGCCATTCAGTGCTTGGCTCATACACCAAAGGTGGTTGACTATTTTCTTGGAGATTATACTAGAGAAATAAATCCTGACAATCCACTGGGAATGAATGTAAGTTATATTTACTTCAATTCTTTTCCTTTTATGTTTGATTATATTTTTTCATAGGTTTCAGAATAGTATGATGTTTGAAGTTTGAACTAAAGCATGGAAAATTTTCAGGGTGAGATTGCTTCAGCCTTTGGGGATCTATTGAGGAAATTATGGGCCCCTGGAGCAATTCCGGTGCCACCAAGAACATTTAAGTCAAAACTGGCTCGATTTGCTCCTCAGTTCAGTGGCTTCAATCAGCATGATTCTCAAGTCGGTGAACATTTTCTTGATCGCAATAGTTGAGTTTTGTTTTTCCTTTTGTGGGTCATTGTAATATTATCAAATTCCATGGTTTTCTTTTTTAATTTGATGTGCCTTTTATCTTAGGAACTTCTTGCATTTTTGTTGGATGGACTTCATGAGGATCTCAATCGTGTTAAAAGTAAGCCTTATGTTGAAGTGAAGGATAGTGAGGGTCGAAAAGATGAGGAAGTAGCTGATGAATATTGGCAAAATCACCTTGCTCGCAATGATTCTATCATTGTTGATGTGTGCCAGGTAAATTTTTTTCCCCATGATATGACTTTGTTCCAAGTACACATTGAAAGTTTAATTTGATTTGTATGGTTCTTACAGCAATCAGTTTCATTTTCTCTTGGTCTCTATGTAATTTTCGTTTTGTTGAACACTTGAACTCCTAAAGATATTGGTTATGAGGAAAAGAATTGACATGTAATAGTAGTAGTTAGCTTTAGAACCGAAAAAAGAAAATAATGGATAGCATCAAATTCCTTTTGTTTTCAAGCAAGAGTGACATGGCGGTAGGGATAGTTTAGCACCCATTTTTGGAAGATTCGATATTCATTTTTGTTCTAATGTGTTCTTCTAGAATGATTGTAACATGACTTGTAGATTGAATGAATTATTCAATTATTGATTTATAGCATAGTTGATTTTGTTTAGTTAATCAAATGCATCAGGCAAGTTGGATCTAGTTTGTATTTTATCATAGAAGTACGTGGTGTTTGCATGTATTTGTTGACAAGTTTTTTATTCCACTTTATTCATTGCAGGGTCAGTTTAAATCAACTTTAATTTGTCCAGAATGCAGAAAGGTCTCTGTAACATTTGATCCATTCATGTACCTTTCACTACCTCTACCATCAACAACATTGCGTACAATGACTGTAACTGTCATCAGCACCGATGGAACCTTTCCACCATCTCCATTTACAGTTACTGTACCGAAGAGTGGGAAATTTGAAGATCTTATCCAGGCTCTAAGTGTTGCATGTTCTTTAAGGGCTGATGAGACCCTCCTCGTGGCAGAGGTTTATTGCATTCTATGCAGCATCTGCATCTGTTGGATTAATTACTATGTTGTTTTAATGCTTATAAATATTCAATAAATATGTAAGCATTAACTTATATTGCAGATATACAACCACCGAATTATTCGTTTTCTTGAAGAGCTTGCCGATTCTTTGTCATTGATTAGAGATGATGACACATTGGTTGCTTATCAGTTAAATAAAGACATCGAGAAAACTCCTTTAGTTGTGTTTACACATCAACAGATGGAAGAGTAAGTTGTTTAGTTCCTAGCTTGACTGTTTCAGTTCTCGGCATCCCATTCCCACCCTCTTCATGATTTATATTTGATTTTCATATGTTTGCATCTCCTGTTTTACTTCTTATTGAAAGAATATTTTTTGAGGTCATGTAAATTGAAAATAAGAAATTTGGAGTATACATAACTACCAATTTTTTCTAGTCCTAGTCTATTTTTTGTATTTATGAGTGGTTGTTAAGGAAATATGTCAGTCAAGTATCCTATAGTTGCATCTTTGGATGGCCACTTGGAATTATTGCATCTCCTTGCGGTTGTATCAAGTTTAATGGATTTATAAAGTTTATTTACTGATGGTTGGTTGTGGATTTGATAAAAATGATTCATTTCATCTAGACCTTGTTTGCTTCATATGGACATGCATTTCAAGATTACTTTATGGGTCCTATGGGTAAGGCAGTTCAAGTCATACACAATCCAAACTTGAATTTAATAGCAGAAAGTGACGTATGCGTGTGTGTATAGTGCAAGTGATGATGTGTATGTGATATAAAGTATTTTGTAAGTTGTAGTTTACCTATCAACATTACTTAGGAAAGAAAGATGGTAGATTTACTTGATCGTTAAAGGCCGTCACATGGTGTTTTACCTTCTAAAGATATAAAATGCTCATGAACTTTACCGTTTTTCCTGTTTCTTGTTTGTTTTCTTCTTGACTCGAAAAAATTATCTTTGTTGTCCACTCACCTACATCTGCATGACAAATACTCTGGGTTTGTCTTGCAAATATCAGTTACTTTTGATAGCTGTATCTATAACCTAAGGTTTTTATCATTTCATATTTTCAGGCAGTGCATCCTTGGGAAACTGACTTCAAATTGGAAGACATTAGGAATTCCTCTTGTAGCAAGGCTTTATAATGTTGTTACTGGATCTGACATCCATTGTCTATATCTGAAACTACTAAATTCATTTCAGACACAGACTGAAGAAGTCGTAGATGGCCGTGATATCTCTGAGAGCACGGCAGTTGAGGACGTTTCTCCAAAAGAGCACGATGAATCATCTCGAGTTTCAAATGGATTTGAAAAGCCCCCTGATGCAAATGGCCCTTTAGAGGCTGAGTTACGATTTTACTTAACAGACGGAAAGGGAATAGTCAAGGAATCTGAGATACTTTTGGGTGAAGCGATACCAGCTGATGGAATGTCCAGGAGATTACATGTACTCGCATCCTGGCCAGAAAAATATGTTAAAAAGTACGATGCACAGCTTATTAGCACTTTACCGCAGATCTTTAAGTCCTGCTTTTTCACTAAGAAACCTCAAGAATCTGTTTCTCTTTATAAATGTCTTCAAGCATTCCTGATGGAGGAGCCGCTTGGACCTGAAGACATGTGGTTAGTGTTTACATTTTTCTCTCTTACAACTTTACTTGAGAAATGTTTTGAATCTTAAAAAAAGAAAAAGAAATTGTGTTTGTTATTTCGGAGGATTAACTTTTATCAGCAAATTGAATTTTATTTTGCAGATTACTTTGATACTTGCATTGTTTCCTTTGCTTTGCTTTCCCTTGTGATAGAAAACGTTGTCCGCAGATTTTTCTTATTTGAAAATGCCATGCCCTTTATGAACTAATAGCTCATCCTTACTATTCCGTTTATTAAGAAGTCCCTTGATTTGGCTCTAATTTGCTGCATTTCTTTGCAAATTAAAAGAAGAAAAAAAGTTTGTCGGGTAGTTTATCATGCGTGAGAGATAATTATAATTATAATTATAATTTTTCGTGTATATTTGCTTCTAGATTCATCACTAATCCCTCCAAACATCCTCAATTAAGTTGTTTATAAGGGTACTTGGAACAGTAGCCTATTACACACCACACGCCCGTATATATGGATGTATGTTCACAACCCCCCGACAAACACGCGCGTAATTTTCTGTCACCGAACTTCTCTTCCACGTCCTTTTGCTTGTTATTGTCTATCTAATGCCCGATTTTGTTTAATATTATTTTAGGTACTGTCCAGGCTGCAAAGAGCACCGTCAAGCGAGTAAAAAGTTGGATCTTTGGAGACTGCCTGAGATTCTGGTTATTCATTTAAAAAGATTCTCGTATAATCGATTCTTGAAAAACAAGCTGGATACATTTGTTGACTTCCCCATTGACAATCTTGATTTGTCCAATTATATCGGCTCTAGTAATGACGAGTTATCGAACCGTTACATGCTTTATGCGGTTAGTAACCACTATGGAAGCATGGGAGGTGGTCATTATACTGCATTTGTCCATGTAAGTGATGACCTAACCATGATTTAGTTTTTGTTTCCATAGAAAAACTAACAACACAGAGGTTTTTATTGACCTTCTAAATTAAAAATAATAATAATATTTTATCACAATTGCATGGTGGCACAGCTAGAAGAACTCTAAATTTTGTTTTTCTTATGTAGCATGGGGGTGGACAATGGTACGAGTTCGATGATAGCCATGTTTATCCCATTGGCCCAGAGAAGATCAAGACATCCGCTGCTTATCTTCTCTTCTACAGAAGAGTCGTAGACTGAAAACATCCGGACCATTGTTTACCGATGTAACCTTTTAAAGTGAGAATTCTTCATCGGTGGATATATCAATATATCAAAAGAGTAAGCATTCTACTTTCATCTTTGGCCTAAGTTGATAGTTTTTAGTATTACAAAGGAAGGGGGAATTATAAGTTGATGCCATTGATGACTGTACCATAGTAGCAAGCAAGAAATGAGAGGTGAGAGTGTTTGAAGAAGGGGAAGGGGAATTTTTGTTTCTTTTATACCTATAATCATTTGTGAAATGAAGAGTTTATCCTTATTATTTTTATTTTTTAACCCATGAAAGTGTAGCTTTTGTTAATTGTTATTAATGTAAAATGATTGATTGATAGCTTGAAGAAGCCTTGAATTTGATGTCATATGAATCTTTTTTTTTTAATATTATTCTCTGTGATTACAATATAGTATGTTTATAATTTTTCGTAGTTTATTAACAATGCACATATCATGCGGACACAATTGTTCAAACCTGAGTCCTCTAAAGAGAATCTTAAATTTGTTCGATGTTTACGTAAACTGGTCGGGTTAAACTCGAGTTTTAGATGTAAAGGTGGACCATTTCCATAGTTGTGTAAGATGTGACTAAACTTCCTTGATGGTTGTAGTACCCATGGCACTAGATGAGTCCAGGACCACTATCCCTTGTGAAGCCAGGTCAGGTCCCTGTCCCTATCCTCGTGGTTCTCATTTTCTCACCCACTTTAGCCCAATTGCCATTTCCAGTGACGTTTAAGTCCCTTTCTATCTTTGATCTTTCCATTCTCATCACATGGATTCAATGAATAACATCAGCCTCTATCATCAGAAAAATCGATATGATATGAATATTGTTTTTGTTTTACCTTAAAGTCGATATAACCTTGTCATTAAAGAGTTGAACCAAATTTAGACCTGAGGGGCATCATTTAACAGCCACATTTAAATTTTATTTTTTAATATTAATACGATTGGTATTATTATTGTTGTCGTAATATTTTAAAAATAATAGATAACTTGAATATTGCATAAAAATATATTAAAATTCCATTAATTTAATATAAAACTTTGAATTTTTTCTCTACTTTTATGACGTGTCTTTTTAGCAATAAAGAAAGTGAGGTGTGCTATCCGACATGATTGCATGTCTGAATTCCCAGATCCATATAGTAAGTCAAACCCAAACTAGCTACTGATGATGACCTTCGACTTTATTTCCATAATGGCTTTCACTTTTCTCTAGAAAAATAAATCTGAAATTAATTTAATTGTTTAATTAATTCATGTACATGTATGTACTGATTTAAGATGGATTGATATGAGAAGAGGGTTTATCAGATGATATAAGAAATGAAGACGATGCATGAATAATAATATACCAGTGTTTATGATGTTTGGCAACCGAGAAAAAAGAAAAAGAAAAGTGACAAGACTCATCATCAAGATTCTATTTTCTCAATCTTCATGCTTTGCATGGAAAGAAGCAGCAACAAACCCTTTTTTCCCATTTGAGACATGACAACCCAATCGACGTAACTTTTCCCTTATACTTTATGCTTCATATAATAATACCACAACCAATAAAAGCGGGATGAATAGGGTGTCCAAGTTATGGTTTTTGATTTGATTTGATTTAATTTAATAATAAGAAGAAAAAATTAAGTTTAGATTTGATTTTAAAACGTTTAGGTTGGGTCGGATTCTGGTAAAAAGGTGAAAACCCTTCGATTTCACTCGAAAGTAATAGATTAATAGTGTAACTTTTTTATACAGATTTATAGATAATTATTATAATACATTTCTTATGATTTTTTAATTATATCTATATTTTATGTCGAGTCAGGTTGGACAGGATTTATACTTTAAAAATTTAGGTTGTTTCGGATTTGAGTAGATATATGTTCTTCGAATCGAGTGTACGGTGTAATCACCATTTTTAGCTGCAGTAGCCCCTCCATCCAGCAGCTTCCAACACTGCCATCATCTCCCTTCCATGTTGCAACTCACCCGACAGTTCCAGCAGATTCCAAAAGAAGCCAGCTGCTCCTCCACACGTCGAAGCCTATGGTGAGTCACCACCATAACTATGGTGACTCACCGAATGGCCACTCTTGTGACCGGTCCGAATGGCGTACGTGGTGGCCTATAAATAAGGCCATCAAATCTGCAAAAAAAAAAGAGAGGACACCAACACCGACGGAGAAGCAAGCTACCAACGATCCCAGACAACTACAAATTGGAAGAAAAGAGAAGAAGCCAAGGGACTTACCACCGAGGAGAGTCCAAACGTTGTCGGAGACGTTGTTCCAACCGAGGTAAAAGCTTCGGTTTTTCTTAGATTTAGGGTGATATAAGAGTTTTTAGGAGGATTAAAGGCCCGATTCGGTATTAGGATTGGAAAAAGAGCAATTTTGTGTGATTTTTCAAATTTCGACCATCGTTCACGGTGGCCGACGATGACTGTCGGCCGGTGATTGGCCTTCCTCCGGGCGTAGGCTTTAAGAGAGAGATTAGAGGGGGGAAAATCTCTCTGTTAGAGAGAGAAAAAAATGGAGAAATGAGAAAAGTAAAAGGCTTTTAGGCTTAATAATGGGTATTTATACCCTCACCAAAACGACGTAGTTTTAGTGAGGGACCTCCGTGTAAATTCTCGCTTGGTCAAACCATACGTGCCATCACTCTGAGTTCTGTAAATTCCATTTTAGTTACTTAAATCAATTTTCGAGCATTTTAATTCGGTCTCTTAATTTTATTGTCCTTATAACTTAGTCACTAATATGCTTTTATATATTTTAGGTAAAACAACAAATTTAGCCATTGTAATTTTAGTAGTTTATTTTTTAATCCCGAATAACTAATTAAGGCTAAATTACACTATTAGTACCTAAATCTCATAATATTTCGAATTAAAGTTGTAATTTTAATATTTTAAATTTTATTCATGTTGTTTTAATTTATTTATTTTAGTCACTATTTAATTGCAATTTATTTTTATTATTATCTTTTTAATTTCAATATGTTTAATTTAATACTTTAAATATTATTTATTTTAGAATATAAAATATATTTAATTAAATAATAATATTTATTTTTAAATATTAAGATAGGCATGTCTTAAATTAACTAGAAGTCATATTCAGATATTTTTAAATAAATAAATATTGTGTTTATAAAAATAAATATATATATATATATAGTTATTTTAGTTTTATTCAAATTATTATATTTTTCTTCATTTTATATTTATTTAATTTTAGTCATATATATATATATGAAAGATTAATAAGTATTATTTAATTAATTTCACAAATTAATTAAATAATAATATTTATTTATTTTTAAACATTAAGAAAGGGCGGTCTTAAAATAACTAGACGTCCTATTCTGATATTTTAAAAATAAATAAATATCCTGCTCATAAATATATTTATTTACTTCGTTTTTATTATTTTTAAGAAAAAATATTATATTCTTATTAATATTTATTTATTAATATTATAGAAAGTGGTTGTCTTAAAGGAACTAGATGTCATTTTTTAATATTTTAAATAAATAAATACTTTATTTATAATTCATAAAAATTATTTTAAATATTTTTCTTCCTTATAATTATCCTATTGAATATGAAAAGATCATAAATTAAATTTATATTCAAATTTTTAAATACTATTATTAGAGACAATTTATAATCGACATGGACCAATTTTGGACGTTGTGTGGGTGTTAATCCTTCCCCAAACATAACCGACCACGAATCTCTTTTTATTATTAAAAAGAATAAATTTTTGGTTAAACGCAGACTAGTTTATCTTTTAACTGATATTTTCTTAAAAACTCTTTTAAAAGATGATTTTTAGGTATTCGACCTACCTAATCCAAAAGGTCGATGGCGACTCCCAAAACATTTTTTAAATAAAAACCATTCATTTATCCACATTATTTTTCTCGCCAAGTAAAAATTCATGCCCGGGCAAAAACCGGTTACGACAGCTTGGAGACTCCGCTGGGGACTCTGGTCAACCTAAGTCGATTATATATTGTCTCTATAAGTTAGAAATTGAGAATCCAATTTTATTTAATTTATGATTCTTTTTTGTTTCTTTCAATTTATTTTTTACTCCTGTATATTAATATTTGATTTTTTTAGATATTAATTTTTTTGTGAAAATTTTTCCTTACACACGACACTTGCATTTGCATAAATATAGTCTCTATATTGAGCACTTTCCCTTTTAAGTAGGAGTGAAAGAGACGTCTTCGTGAGAATGTATTCTCCATGTCAGACCTAGCAAGTAGCTTTCGGGGCTCATATGCTCTATGTCTTCGTGAGAATTTATTTTCCGTGTCAGACATATGGAAATGTGTCTTCTCGAATTGAACTCGGTCCGCTTAAGTCTGTGATGGACTAGGATTGAGGGTTTGGCAGTCTAAGGGGGCACCAACAAGGACAATTCGAGTACCTTTACTCATAGAACTGTAACCTTGCATATAATAAACCTTAGAAATTCTCCTGATCTAAGACAATACTGAAACCCTGTCTATAGGTGTACACAAAGGAGAAATAAGCTCTATCTTTTAATTGATTTGATTTGATTTGATTTTCTCTGAATAAATACATGTGAACTAGAAATCATGCAGTTAGGTTAATTTTTCCAAACAAAGAATGGAACTAGAAAGCATGAGGTTAGGATTTATTTTTTCTTTTCTCATTTTTTTTTCATACATTTTTTTGCTCTAACTTGTTTATATTGATTTCTTGTGTTTGCATTGCATGATCATGGCATAACCAGAAGGTGTTGACTCGAAAGAGTGTTTATCAAATTGGAAAGTTTTCATAAATGGACAAAAAGTTTTATGATCAAGAAAAATATGACGCAACCAAGGAAAGACATCCTGAGGAAACACTGAGGATAGAAGAGAGTTATGCATACAAAGATCATGTTATATTAATACCAAAAGTATTACACAAAGATCCTGTTAGATTAATACCAAAAGCATTATACGGTAAGAGTATCAGTCGGGGCACTCAGAATAAAGGATTTTTTTATGAAGCTCAAGCATGTTATTTGAAAGATCAAAACAAGAAATTGAGCACATAAATAGAAACCATGCATGGAGATTTCCAAAAGATCAGTCAAGCCTTTCAAAATGCTGGCATAGGAAATACCCCAGAAGAGTGGATAATAGGGGTCACCAAACTGAAAAAGAACTGCAACATATATGAAGAACTTGTCCAAGAACTTCTTGGACACAAAGGTTCTCTTACAAGGGAAAATGAGCAACTCCGAGAATTGACACAGAAGATGAAGGAAAAAGAGAATGCCATGGAAGAAGTTGCAGTCCCAGACAAGCAAT